CACCTCGAGCACCTTACCTGTGAATGACCTGGAGAAATAAAGGTTGGCACTTTTTAGGGGCCACAGAATGCCTGATCTCAAAATAATTTTCTCTTTTATTAAATTCTTACTGCTTGTGGCTGGGGGGAGAACAGGAGGACAGAAGGGTGTTTCTAAAAAGCCTATCTAACACTTATTTTTTTTTTATAGCTAACACTTTTATTTTTTAAGAGCGATGCTATGGGAAACAATGGTTTGTCAAGAGATGATGTGTCATGCTAGGGTGCTTAGACCTGGGTTCTGGACATCTCTCCCTTACTGAATCAATGACTTACCCTAGCTTCACCTTTTGGGGTCTCAGGCATCTTCAAGAATAAACTTAAGGCTGTTCGTTCAGGTAACGCCCCCTACACTCCCACACTCTTACCCACACCGGTTGTCTGGCTGTGATGCCATGTGGCTTTGATTTACATTTACGTAAAGGAGAAGTGGGACAGTGAGTGGCAATTCCTCCCACTGTTGCCAAAGCTCTATTCTTGGACGTGGCCTGCCAGCGATCTTGAGTAACACCTCTCTTCTACACACTGTGTCAAGTTGTCCTCCCAACTGTAGGGTCAGCATAACCACGACTACCCCAAACACAGTCCGCTTTAACCTTTCAGTAGTTGAGCCCACTGAAGGTCAGGAGGCTGCTTGGAGCAGTGATGCTGTTAGTAAGCTGCTAGTGCGGTCCCCAGAGCAGCAGCATTCACATCACCCAGAATTGTTAGGAATTCAGATTCTCAGGCCAGCACCAAGGCAGACTGAACCAGAAACTCTGGCACTGGCTCAGTCATCTGGGCTGCAACAAGCTCTCCAGGGGCTTGTGAGGCTTGCTCGAATTTAGGAACCACCGCCTTGAAGCACCTTGCTCTAGAAACCGCTGCATCAGAAGGTGGTCCAACACAACTTGGCATTTGTCCAATCAAGTGGGATTCATGCTCCAGTTCTTAAGCCACTTCTTAGAAGCCATTTTTTCCCCCCTCAGGTACTAGGGCTCTGTGACAAGAAGTGATCTTGAAGAGTTAATGCACCTCAGACCTGGAGAATCTGGTCTAATAAGATCTCTTTGTTAGTGCGGGAGCCACCCCTCCCCACAGGAGTGGCTACCAGCAGGAAGTGGTATTGGCTTCTAATTTTTATATTGGCCACCTGACCAAGTGGTTAGAAGAAATCTAATGCAGCATTTCCACGAATTTCTGAAGGCCCGGTCCGCAGAAAGCCTTTGAGTGCCTAAGGTTTACTGGTGGTTAAATGAACACTTAGCCATGACGCAGCACTATCGAGGCAGAGGCAGCGTGGTGGGTGTCTGTGTCCCTAGCACAAGTCTTGCCTTGAGAACTGGTTCGGAGTGATTTCTCTGAAAGTAGACACTCTGAAAAGGCCTCCATTTTCCTCACCTGTAAAATGAATATTAAACACAATCTCTAGGGCCTCTCTCACCACCATTCACCATTTTTGTTCAGTAATGGTGCCCTGTAGTCTTCAAGATTTTGGAATCAAGAATGGGGGCTAGGGACTTCCAAATGGAAAGAGAGAGTAGGACACTTACTATATAGGCTGAACAGTGGTGCAATAGCAATCCTGCTCCTTCCAGAGCCTTGCTAAGCTGTGGGTAGTTGGAGCGTGGAGTCTACATTCTAATTTTGTGTTGACTGATTGATTTGGGGGAGAGGGGAGAGAGAGAAAGAGAGAGAAAAAGAGAGAGAGAGAAAGAGAGAGAGAGAGAGAGAGAGAGAGAGAGAGAGAGAGAAAGAGAGAGAGAGAGAAACATTGATTTGTTGTTCCACTTAATTATGTACACATTGGTTGCTTCTTATGTGTGCCCTGACAGGAGTTCGTACCCACAACCTTGGCCTATTGGGACACACAGAGCTACCAGGCCAGGGCCAGGATTCTGTATTCTAAATTCAACCTAGCTAGGCTTGTGCCTCAGTCTAGACTCTAGAGTGATTTGCCTTATTTGTTTTTTTTTTTTTTTTTTTTTAGCAATGTTCTAATTCTGGAGGGGTCACTGGCCTCTGCTTATTCCAACCTTAAAGTTAGAGCTTGTGTAACAATTAGAGTGGCTTGTCATTCTTCTCATTGCCGATTCAGGGAGTGCTTTAATCCCTATTTTCCTAGATCTTCCTTTTCCCATCACAATCTCAAGGATTCTTCCCCAAAAGCAGATGCAAAGCCCTACCAACCCTCTTTCCTTCCACAGAAATATGGGCTCTGCAAAGAATTTTGCTTGTTAAACCTTAGCTTGCTTAGCTTGCTTAGCTGAGGGCTTTTTTTTTTTTTTTTTCCCCTCTCCTTCCTCTTAAGCCCATTGCATAACAATCTGCTGTTTTAACCTTTTGCCAAATTCTACACTTCTCACTGTCTGAGGTTACTACGAGTGTTTGAACAGGTAACATCTACCTTTGAACTTCTGTTGCAACAGGTTCAAAGTTTCCAGAGGAGCGTGTTGGCCACTCTCAGGACAGTACGCATTGGCTTCAGGTGTGGCCAGTCTCCAGAGCTGTGGCAAAGGCAGAGGTGCCTGCCGGCGGCGCTGAGCCCTACAGCCAGCGGTGAGGAGCGCATTCCCTATACCCAGGAAGTGAACGGATCCTTACAGGTAAGCTGCGGTAACTCTGCCTGCTCTATAGTTTAGGTGTCTGTGGGAGAGCAGGGCTGGGAGTGGTTAAGGGGAAGAAAGTGGGACATGAGTCCATTCTCAGCCTAAGGCACTTTCAACATGAAGTTACACTTCATTGAGTAGTATCTTAGCTGACTTGTGTGGGAGGCACAAGAAACAAAATCAATCAAAACCGGGTGGAGACATTGGATTGAGCTGAATGCTAGCAGGAGAGAGACTTGGAAGAGAAAGTTGTTCATTTCACTAAACACGATCAAAACAGATTTCAAACCTCTGAGGATTATAGAGGAAGCCAGGATGTGGGTCTCATTCATCTTCCATTCAGAAATCTCTGTGTCAATATGGTTAGAAAGGGCATTCATTCATCAGCTGTTGATGGCAGCGTTCCCATTTGGAAGAAAGAAGGAGAAGAGAGACCTTAGTGGACACTCTGTCAGATGCCAGGGTCTCTACTAAGTGCAGGACAGGCAATACCTCATTGGGAGGTGGTTGGTATCGCATTTCATAAACAAATCATGTGCCTCTGAGTTTGAACAGCCCGGCCTGGGCTACACAGCTGAGATGCTGTGGCGAGGCAAGGGTTTGAGTCACAACCAGTGTTGCTACAGGCTGTTGCATGATGGGGAATTCACATGGATTGCCAAACCTTCTGTTGCTCTCTCAAATCTCGGGGCTGTCACTCATGTGCACAGAGGACTTGCTAGGAATGCAAGTCAGCTAGACCTTTAGAATGACCCAGAGTGTTCTGAACTTGAGCATTTGGTTCTGGAGGAAACAATTAGAAATAAAGAGAGGCTAGTCTCTTCCTGGCTCTGAGCTCTTCGTCTGGTTGGTAAAAGGAGACAGCACCCAGGGAACAGCCCACAGCATTCGAGTGGCTACGACTCCACACCCATTCTGCTGTCCTGGGCTCTCCGCTGGGGGAAACTTCCTCTTGGGGGGTTGAGCTGCTGAATCTAAGCCAAGCCAAGTGCTGCTTCAGCCATGCGATGCCCCAGAAGTGGGGGGGGGCTACCCTCATCTTCCTGTACTTCCATTTCTCCCACGTCTTAGGTGGTCTCCGGGAAGACCCAGTGTCCAACTCCTGTTCTCTGAGATTGTGGCCAAGCCTATTCTGGTGTTTTTAGTTAGAACTTTTTAGGACCTCCTCTCCTGGAGAGAGAAGAAATGCTAAGCTGGCTGGGAATGTGCTGTTAACTTCCGGGGTGTCTGGGAGGTGGGAGGGAGGAAGAGGGACAGGGAGTGGCAGGAGAGTTTGTATTTCTGCTTCTAAGTTCCAGCGTGCAAGTTCCCGTGCCCTTCTGTGGCCACAGCCTTGGGGGAATCCAATGAGACTAGTACAGGTCCTGATACTTCTGCTAGCACCCTGGAGTCGTTCAGGAGGCCTGAACATTCTAAACAATTTCATAACAGTACTAAAAAGGTATTTCCTTTCCTATGGTCATTGCCGTGTGTGTGTGTGTGTGTGTGTGTGTGTGTGTGTGTGTGTGTGTGTGACGCTGGTTTTTCCAGAAGCTATTAGATACGAGACATGTCAGTCTGACAGCTCCTGGCACATGTGCTTGTCTGGTCCTGTGATTTAATTTTCCCAGGTTTACCTTGGGGAGGTGGGGGAGGCAGCAGAATGGATTTTTGATTTAAAGTCTGAGGGGTAAAAAGATGAGCTGATGGGTCAGAGGAAGGAAAACAAAGTCTTTCCATTCACCCCTGTGCTTCCTGGCCTGGTGCATTGTGGCTTTATCAGCTTCGGGCCTGAGGCAGGTATACTGGGGATTGGAGAGAGGCTGACACCCTGGGGGCTGGGCTGGCCTCCGGTTCCCCTTGGGTGCTGGGAGGTCTGTGAGGGCTGAGTTGCCTGGGGTGGGACTTCCCTGCTCTGTGACTCTAGCAGGGAGCAGCGTCATTTCCTGGACACACAGTCTGAGGGGCACCTCCTGTCACTTTTGTTTGTTTGATTTTTGTCTTCGCTTGCTCCGAGGTGGTCAAAGGAGGAAAGGGTGAACAGTGGGATGTGGGCTGGCTTCATCTCAGCCCTCAGGGGCTGGGGTTAAGGCGTTTGACCAGCTGCCAGAGTAGGCTTGGCGCCTTCTCCCTCCTGGTCAGACACTTCCACTTTCAGTTGTAAACGAAAAACCAGGAAGTGGAGTCCCTGAGCACGTTCAGGAGCCCGGCCATGGACTAACGTGGGGCCGGCAGACAAGGCAGCACTGGGGCACTCTGAGCCAGGCCATCAGTCTGCATGGATGCTCTGAGGTCACTCAGTCCCTGGAGGTCACAGGGGTGAGGGAAGAAGAACAGGGACTTACGTGCCAGAAGAACGTGGATCAGGAAGCTCCATCGCTGGAAACACTGAGGGATGCGAACCCCCTCCCAGGGTAAGGGGACCGTGCTAAGGGGGGGTATTTAGCAAAGTGTCCTGGGAGCGTGAGGCAGAGGCTGAGAAGGCAATCTGACCCGCAGCTTCAGTGAATCTAGAGCTGGCTGTGTCCCAGCCACGTGTCAGCACTTTCTCTCCCTGGTCTTTAGCGCCCTCCTGTAGACCCTTCTCATCAGGATTAGGGGGGGGGGGGGGGGAAGGGCAGTGGAAGGAGGAATGTGGGCCTGAGGAAGACTTCCTTCCTCCTGCCTCTCTCAGGGAGGTGAACCATAACTGAGACCTGGTTTCCTGGGCCTTAGCATCTGCCCTAGCTCCCATGTGGGCTGCGGGTTGCCCTCCATTTTCATGGAGGACTTTGACTTCTTCCTGGGGTAAGGGCTGATGAATGAGTGGGTGATGGAATGGTTCTGGTGGAGCTGGGTCTGTTTAAGGGCCAGGGCCAACAGTTGAATCTCAGATGAACTTCAAGGATGTTCAAGGATTGAGCATTAAGAAAGGACTCCACGGTCAGTGCTTTCTGGCTTCCGTGGGTTTTACCCTTGTGGAGGTTTGAAAAGTAGGATTGAATTGGTAGCTCCAACATGTAGGTGACTGGTGGTCTCTCACAGAGGCAGCGTCTTAGAAATAATTCCATTTAATTTAATTTTAAAAGTAAAAGATTGATTTAGTAAAAAGTACAAAGAGTAATTGGGTTTGCTCGATTGCTTTTGCTATATTCAGCATGGGAGGCATGCTCTGGTGGTTCCCTCTAATTTACAAGGGTTTGAGATGAGCATAGAATAATCTTGGAGGAGGGATGGCATATAAAATGTGGTTGGTATCACTTGGCGTGCTTGGCATAATGCAAGGAACAAAAACCTAAATAAAATAAGAGTTACAGATGCTTTTAGGACAGGCAGATCATATACCCAAGTAAAGTAAATGGAGCATAATAAGATGTCAATGGTGAGGACTCTGGCAAAATGCAAGGCAGGCATACCCCCGAAAAACATATTTCAATTTCTTTTTTTAAAAATAACAAATATTAACCAGACCAAACTGAATGTATTAGCCAGGCATTTGACTTAGATCCTAACCTAAAACAGTAATCTCTCCTAGGCTATATTCTAACTCTTTGAGGACAAAAATACCTGTAATAAAATCTGTACATCATTGAGTTCCTAACTGCTAAGTATACAGTGGGGCCACAGATTCTGCAAGGGATGTTAGGGTTTCAGGGGCAGGGAGAGCATCAAAGGATGAATGGACAGAGGCAAGATGAAGTCATTTATACTCCAGCTCATAGTAGATACACTTACATTTTTTCTTTTCTTCTTCTTCTTTAATCCTTACCTGTGGACATGTTAATTGATCTTAGAGAAAGAGAGAAGAAGGGAGGGAGAGAGAGAAAAAAATATCAATGTGAGAGAAAAACATTGATTGGTTGTCTCCCACCCATGCCGACTGGGAATTGAATCTGCAACCCAGGTTATGTGCCCCAACAGGGAGTCAACCCGCAACCCTTTTGGTGCATGGGATGATATTCCAACCAACTGAACCACCCAGTCAGGATGATGCACTCACATTTAATTGAGACAATCTTAGGAGGTGGATGGTTTCAACATGTTATGGTTGAGAGAGTAGGCTCAGAGAGGGGTGGCAATTTCTCCAAGGTTACAAAGCAGCCAATTGTCTAATGCTAAAACTATGCTCCATCCACTCATGTGTGGAATTAGCCTTTCTTCAGATTTTTTTTTTTTAAAAATTGTATTTGTGATAAGATTTTCAAGTATGTGAACTGGGGTATTAAGTTTATATATTTATTAGATATTTTTCAGATTGACATTTTTCTGGAACTATAATTATTACAGGACCATTCATTGAATATATTCTATGGGGCAGTGCTGTCCTGTTTTATGGGGCTTTTCTCGTTGATATTTAAAATGGTCTTGTGAAGTAGGTATTTTGTTTCATAGGTAGAGAAACTGAGAGTTAGAAAGAAACTGGACACGGTGTGCAGAGATTGGAGCCGGACTTTGAACTCTGACGCATTTAATTTTAAAGGCAATCTGTGGCTCAGTTTCTGAGAAACCAAGTTTAGTGCTTATGGGCCAAAGAATTGGAAATGGGGAGAAACCCTCCTTTGACAATCCTCCGGATTTTTTCAAATTCAGAGAGGCAGACAGCAGATTGGTAGCTGACAGGGATTGGGATGAGAGGAATAACTGCTAAATGGGTTCAGGGTTTCTTTGGGGGATGGTGAAAGTGCTTAGGACCTAGATAGAAGTGGTGGTTGGCCAATATGTCAATGTTCTAAGAGCCACTGAGTGGTTCACTTTCAAATGGTTAATTTTATGTGATTTCACCTCAAAGAAGTCCTCCCACCTCCTGGCAGGAAACTTCCCAAATTAGACTTTTGGCAATATTTTAGAAACCAGGAGTGACGTGTCTGCTCTTGTCTGTCTCATATGTCTGGCTAGCTACACACTGATCCTCATTTGGGGTTCAGCTGGGTTGATTCTTGGGCAGCACCTTGCAAAGGCAACATGTCCCCAGCTGCCCTGACTTTATCCATCACTGTACTTTCACACTCTGCTGTAAACTCCGCTGGGTCTGTTTCTCCTTTAGGTGACTATGCCCTGAGGTCAGAAATGGACCCTCCCTCCTCCTTTCCTCTGACACAGGGCCCTATATTTCCCAGGCTCTTACTTCATTCATATTAGGTTAGCAGCCCTTGTACTGATATGGAAAGGCCATGATACCCCTCTTTGCAGGGAAGCTGGTAGCAGATATCTGGGTTCCCAGTGGTCATTCTACTTTAAGAGTTATGAGGTTGTGAAGAGCTTATAGGAGAATTCAGGTGTGGAATAAGTTGAGAGGACATGAGTGGGTCAGAGTTCAGAGGTATACCATGCCCTCTCCAGCTACAAATCCTCTGTTTAAATAGAAATGTGGAGTTAAGACCTTTGCACATAAGTTGAAAGATGGTTATAGTATGAAGACCTTGATTATCTCTTCTCATTTGAGATGTCTCAAAATAGAACATCTGATATTGACAATGAGTTGGAAACAGGTGAGTGGAAGGGGAGCTAGCCTACTGAGAACTCCCCATGCGCCCAACAGTGTACCAGACGGTCCACCCAGTATCCCTTTGAAGTAGAGATTATCACCGGCCCCTTCTTGTATACAGTTGGGGGAACTTACACTCAGCGACATTGTCACTGCCTGCAGGGCCACACAGCTAGTAAGTAGTAGAGCTGTTGCTTTGGTACTTGAAAAGGCAATGACCTTACAAGTTTGCCTCTGGAAAGGAGATTAAGGGCAACAAAGCTTATTTGCAAATTGGATCTGGTGACTCCTGACCATTGGCCAAACCAGGTAGCTTGAGGGCTGATTCTGCAGAGAGCCCAGGTAGCAAGGTCTCTTTCACAAATTCTTGCATCACCCTGACCTTATGCTGGTATTGGTGACGGGATCGAGCACTTTGTCCAGCCTATCTTTTTACAGGCTCTCTTATCAAATCCAGTAGACCTTTGAGACTGGATTTCCTGACCCCAGTCCTCTCATAAATCACTTGGTCAGCAACACACTTGGGGAGCTTTGGGGGTGCAAGGTATTCCTTAGGGTAGGGCTGCTGGACTGTGATTTGTGGGAAACCTGATGGCGATCCAGTTGGATTTGTCACTGCCTGTCACCAGTCTATGAATGAGTGTCTCAACAACTATTTCAGGCTACCTTCATGGACTGAGTTATTTGATCTAATAAGGAATTTCCTATTAAGTACCACTCAGCTCACCTGGTCAAGGCTCTCTGGTGTTTCTGAACTGAAATGACAGTGGTGTGGTGTCAACACAGGCCATAGGCACTGTCTCATTCAGCCTTCTTGAAAGTTTTTCTTCCTTTTTTCCCCCCTTTTCAACTAAATCAGAAACACCCCTTCACCATCCTATCCCCCAAATGTCCTGCTTTAATGCCACTAGCCATATTAGCTGCCACCTACATCCCCTTCCTCGCTTCCACTGAGGTTCAACCGACCTAATGCAGTGATTGTATCCATGGAAACGGTAGAAGGGGAGATCCAGAAAACATTTGAGAAGGATGGTTCGGTGGCAGTGACCTTGGCTGGACTCATAGCTGAGGGTTTCTTTGCCATGGGCATCGTCAATAGAGTCATCATCCTTGATTGATCCTGGGAATGAGACTGTTGGCAATAAAGTCAGGGGATCTAGAGCTCTATACCTTTACCCCACCCACTTTAGTCTACACTGGTCTCTCTCTTCTCCAAATTCATTAGCCCATGTCCCACACACTGAATCCTTCCCTAAGTATACTCAGTGTTTGATAGACTCATAAGTCCTCAAAGGGCAGGAACTGGATCTTCTTAGTGTTTTTCTCCTTGCAAAAGGAGATCCAAGCTCTTCCTTGGCCTTATTAAAAGTAAATTATAAGTCACTTTAAAGTGCAGAGAGTAAACAAATCTTTTGCGATGCACATACTTCTCCAGCCCACCAGATGCTCTCAAAACTGGGGCACATCCCATAGACATGTGTTTACTGCCTGGATAACTGGCTTTATTCCCCTCCTATGCACTCTCCATGTGCTTTTCCCATGCTGAGCACACTGCCTGGCACATAGTAGGTATTCACATCATCAAATGCTTGCAGAATGAGTGGACCTTGGCTTCATACAGGTCGGGCTGCTTAGCATTGTCCTTGCATGGCATGAAGCCCCTGGCTGTGGCATTTCAGAGGAGGGCTCAGCTAATTCTGCCTCCCTTTGCAATGATACATGTGACAGGTGCACATCATGTCATTGCGGGATTGAATTCTGAGACATGTTTTCTTCAACAGCTCCCCTTCCCTAGTTATCTTGCTGTGAACTTGTGCCATAGTGAGCGAAGAGGGTAGGTGACTCAGGCACTGTGTGGGGCACAAGGGAATCTGAAAGTCTGGCAGCCTCTGTCTGGAAGTTCTGGAAGTTCTCATGGCCCCAGATCACAGAATTGCAGGAAGCCTCCCT